CTCCATTCGACCCATCGTTTTCATCAGCCGAGCTACTTCGGACTCCGAACGTCATTGGACTCCCCTCGACCTCGAGGCGGGTAGCATCGTGTGGTGTATCAAACGACTTCGCGGTTATTTGTGGGGTACGCAATTTCGCATTTTTACCGACCACAAATCTCTTGAGCATTTTGCCAAGGTGGGGGAGAACGATGCCCGCGTTCAGCGTTGGCTCGAATTTCTTACCGCCTACAATTACACTCTCGAGTACCGCAAGGGTTCCGCAAATGACAACGCTGATGTCCTCTCTCGCCTTCCGATCGATGCGGCGGAATGTGACCGATCCGGTCGCAGCCGTTTGACACTGAATGACGATGAGGAGAGCGTTTTCTTCATCCGTTCTTGTGGCCTTACGCCTTCTGGCCATCGCGCCGTGGGTATTGGCTTGGGTGGGCTCGTCCCCTCTACAGATGAATTCGTCGACTTCCGTCGGCATGGTCCACGTCTCTCGCCGTCAGGCCTTTCGTCTCCGCCTGGCATGTGGAACATCGCACCCTGGCCGTCCAAGAAACTCCGCGAGTTGCCTCCTTCGAGACGGCGTAAGCGGACCCTCGTTTGGTCTGGCTCCTTACACTCTTCGGTGGAGGACGTTATGGCTCTCGAGGCCGAGTCTTCGCCAGCCGTCTCGCCGACCGCCGCATCACGACGGACTCTCGACCCTACTCAAGTGATTTCCACGCGGACTCGTCGCCGTACGGCGGTTGTGGCAGGCAAGCCCCTCCCGCCCGTGGATTATGGCTTCTCTGAGGACCCACCTGCTCCCACACGGATTTCCGCTTCGCCCCGATCGTTTCGACGTTCTCCGCCCGCGCCTTCAGCATCGACGACGCCCCCCGTTTCGACCAGGTTGGTTTCGACTCCTGGTGCTAACGCTTCGATCCCGGACCTTCCTACGCCTCTGGCTCGTGGAAGGGGTCTTGCATCTTCGACGCATCCTGCAACTTCGGTTGCTCCTGCCCAGCAGTCTTCTGCTGCCCCCGATTCTTCGGAATCTCCGACGCGTTCGGTTTCAACCACTCGTACGCCTTCGTCTTCGGTTTCCGCTGCTACTCTGCCTTCGGGTGGATTGCAGTCGGAGCCTCATGAATTGGCTCCCTCTTCTATCGAGGCGGCTTTACATTCTTCGGCAGATTTACCCTTCCGGGCGTCTGTCGAACGTTTCTCGCATGCTGATTGGGCTCGCGAGCAACGTAACGAACCTGTTTGTGATGCAGCTATTCGTTTCATCCTTCTGGGTCGGCCTTCGGCTCTCCCTTTGGATTTCCGGGGTCATCTTCCGTCCGCTCGTCGACCTCCTCTGTCGGAGATCCGCGACCTGTCTCACAAAGGCCGGTTACATGTTGACGATGATGGTTTGGTCTTGCTTGTTCGCAAGCAAACAGCGCCCCCGTCGTCTACGACCACACGTCCTGGCGGGTGTGCAGCTCGCCTTCTCAACGACGAACCTATTCGATTTATGTTCCCATGCTCATGCGTCCGTGGATCATGCAAGCCTGTCACGCTGATGCATCCTGCCACCTCGGTGCCGCTCGCACGCTTAGCATGCTGGAACGTTTCTATTGGTGAGTTGGCATGAGTGTTTGCCCGAAGTGGTGGGTACGGCATTGTTTGCGGTGCCAAGCCCCCAAATCATCTCGTCAAACGCCTCGATGACCTACTTTGTGCCTTCCGCTGCCTTCGGGCCCTGGTGTGTCGGTGAGCGTCGATTATTTAGGTCCCCTCCCGTTGACACCGCGCGGAAACACATATATTCTGCTTTTCACCGATCGTTTCAGCCGCCATGCTGATATGTACGCGGTTACGGCTGCGGAATTCACCGCCGAAGGCACCGCTGACGTCCTTGTCAATCGGTATATCCCTTTGTGGGGTTGCCCTTTGAGTCTCTTGTCTGATAATGTCTCTCAGTTTAGTTCTAAACTGTCGCAGGCTGTGTACGCCCGTCTGGCTATCCGCAAAGTGGCTACTAGCTCTTACCATCCCAACGGCAATGGGGGTGTGGAGCGCGTCAATCACACTAAGGCTCAGATGTTGGCTATGGTCGTCAATGAGAGGCAAGATGATTGGGATATTCATCTGCCGCACGTTGAGTTTGCCTACAACGATTCGGTTAGTGCCGCTACTGGTTTCGCGCCCAACGAGGTGCATATGAATCGACTGCCACGCATGCCGATGACGGTTTTTGAGCATCCATATGCTCGAGGCCACCAAAGCTTGCATCGCGATCAACTTGAGTATTGCGATCTTGCTGCTGATCGCCAACGTCGTTCTTACGATTTCGTTCGTGAACAGCACAACCTATCCGTTTCGCGGATCGAGCGGCGTAACTCCGCTCTATCGGATGCTTTGCGCAAGGTCCCCTCATACACCGTCGGTGGATGGGTTTGGGTGTACAACACCGAATCTACCATTCGCCAAGGTGTTCGTTCAGGCACGGATGACAAGGTTCTCAAGGCTACGTTGTCTTTCCTCTACTACTATGCGAATAAATCTCCAACCATGTTACGGAAGACGACGTGTCGACTCTGGTCGAACGTCTCGAGGTTGACCGCATTAGTGGCCATCAGTCTGTTCGTGGTCGTGGTGGCACCATCGCTGTTTTATACCAAACTCATTGGAAAGGTCTTCTTCGTCCTTCTTGGGAACGCGAGATGGACCTCCAGCATTCCAAGACACACATTCTCCGGTATTGGACGGGTTCGCCTGACCAACACCGCCGAACGAATCGCCGCTATCGGGCGATGCGTATTGGTGCGGCCAACCGCGAGATGGCGCGCGCTAAAGGTGAGCGAGCCTTGCCTTCGGGCTATTCGCTCGTCTCTCGTTCAACATGGGACGGTCGCTTCGCCAATACTCCGCTACCTGCAGGCGCCTTCTTCTGGTACAAAGCGCGCGATGGATTCTAGTGGTTGGGCAAGATTACTGGACCGCCTCTACCGTCCGACTTCTACGTTGTCCGCTTCTTAGACGATCCTGGACCTGTCAAGCTCGCCCTTCCTGATGTTCGCTACTCCACCGCCGAAACCACCGTCTCCGGATCCTGGTGCCTCCAAGTTCACAGCGGCAGCGCCCTTTTTAAGGGAATCCTTCGCAACATCGACATGTCGCGTGGACGCTGGGACTGATTCGTTGCCTGATGACGTTGCGCGCCTCCACTAAGACGACATGCTTGGTTGTTTGTGCCTTCTGTTGCTTTTCGCATTGTTGGGTCTGCTTTTAGCACTGTTTGGATTGTTTTCAGCGTTTTTTTTTAATTGTTTTTAGCCGTGGTTAGTTTTCGCTTTCTCCTCGCTTTCTTTAGTGCCTTTAGCGTTTGGTCACGACCTGTAGGTGTTTCGCGCCCATTGTTGTGGCTTATTCGCTGTCGTGGCGACTGCGTGAGAGTGGCGTATCTTCTCGTTTTTTTTTTCGATACCGGTCTTTTTTTGTCGTTCCGGCGGTGATCCTTTCTTTTTATCGTTCTGACGACCTTTGTTTTCTTCTGGTTTTCTTACTTTCTTCGTGTTTTCCTTCCTTCGGTTTTGACCCTGTTCCGGTCGTCATCGGCTTTTCTTAGCCCGCCAGTTCCCTTTCGGTGTCTTCTTGTTGTTTAGAAGTCAAACGATGGTCTTGCGACCCATCGAGTGAGAGGTGTGGGAGGGTGAATTGTGCTGTTTTGGAGCTCCACATCCTCGATACTTTCATTTAGAGACTCGACAATTGCTTGCCAAGACTCCGAGGTTTTATAGTATCTGGGTATGAGAACCTCCAGGGCGGGCTACTGTTGTTATGGGATTCAGATGTGTAGACGGAACATAGAAGAGAATGGTTTTCCTTCTAGAAGGCGCGGAGAGATGTAACTCCCCGCAAGGACGAAACAGGGGACAGGATTTAGTAGCCCCTGATTGTACTGAGGATCCTGCGCCCCTTGGTGTCATTCCTACCGATACCCAAGGCAACAGCTACTGCTGCTGCTGTTCTGCAAGAAGAGTAATAACAAGTGAGTTCTTCTTCACGGGTCAACCAGACTTCATCACGCGTCCATACCACCACACAGAACAGCCCGGAGAAAATACTCCCCGATATTTTGTCGTTGACCCAGTAGAGAACTACAGGGGATGTATTGTAAAGTGTAAGTTACCTATACAGATGTTTTTGTACTTAGCACCAGCTGGCATCACTGGTATAAATCATCAGTGTATAGACTTAAAATACTCGAAATAAGTCCAGTACCCAACCGTTTCCCTCCACTCACTGAAAAGACTCCACCACATCCCGTTCGACTGTGGGTAAAATATACCTCGAATGGGTAGTCTGTCTGTTTATTATTCCTTAAAATACAAAATTCCCCTCTAAATCTGTCTCAGACTCTTTTTTTTTTTTTTTTCTTAATATGACACCACCAAACCATCTCCATCATAGAAAAGAGTCTGAGACAGATTAGCAATGGATTCATAGCGTCAGAAAAGTACCTGTATGTCTACGATTTCCCAGACAGCATATAGGGACATCTCCCCTGCGGGTAACAGGCTCAACAAGACAGTTTGGTGGTTGTCTTGTGTGTCTCATATATGCATAGAGAAGATGGTTTCGTTGTGTCATATTTAGAAAAAAAAAAAATACCCCTCTGATGAACCGGAACAAAAAAAAATACATGAAACCGATTTTTTTTTGTGTTATTGGGGGGGGGCATGTAAGGGGTGAAAACACTTAGGTTCAAAGGGGTCGTCCTGTACACAGCCAGGCACAGCCCCTACAGCTGCGACAAGGAACACATAGCCCACCTACTAGCACAGTAGCACGACAGATGGAAGGGCAGCAGATCCCCGAAGCCAAACGGGCCCGCAGGTCCGCGGACCCGAGCTAGAGGCAGTGGTGAAAAGTCCCATGTGCTGCGGGGAAACAACAGCAGGCTCCGCACAGCAGCGGCACAGGTGGGGTTCGAGGAGGTTCCCGCGACAGCAGCAGCGACTGCGTCGCGTTCGATGGACAAAAATCCTCACGGTGCTACGGGAGGGGACGACCAGGACGCGCCCTTCGAAGACCCGGAGGATGCTGTGGGTTTTGGAGCTCGGAGGTTGCTGCAGCGGCTGCCAACGAAGACGTACGGCACAGCAGGTGAGCTCTCTCTCCACATCAGGAGATGCGGCGCACGAGTGTTGCGTAGCACAGGAGTGTAGATCGCTAAGTGGAATGCAGCAGCCTTGGGATGCAGCACAAGGTTTAGGTTGTGGACGGCCGAACACGCAGTGTAGAATAGACAGTCTAACGAAAAATGACATCTACGCTCGTGTTTGTCACCCCCCCGGTTTTTGTACCAAAAATATAACGCGAAAAGAGGATCCAGTAGTTTACATAGATAGACTACAGCTCTCGACACGAAAAAAAATCATTTACCACTGGAGCCTAGGTCTAGACTATGCATACCAGCCATTTGGTGAGCGTTTGCGACCTTCGGACATTTGCCGTATTTTGCTCGACGCGGCAATATTTATCATCACAGTCAGTACGCCACAATACGCCACCCGACAACGAGCACAGAACTTGAGTGTATGACGTCTGTACAGCAGTCAGTTGTATGAATATACTGCTGTAGGCACGACAATAATAGAGTCCAAGTCTAGATTGCTGTAGACCACGCTCGATACTCCGGAGTACTGACTTCCGTTGTCATTGCAGCTCTTGATACACGCAGTAATGATTCGGGCGGGCAGGGGATTCTTTTGTTCCGAAGGATCAGCGTACATATTATTTCCCATGTAGGTGCTGCTGCTGTAAGTAGACTAGTAGTTTGTTTACTGCCGGAAGTGCCGACGGAATCTATCTAGTGCGAAGATGCCCCTCATCACCATAAACATAGTACGTACCTCATGACCGCCCCATAACGCACGCACACATACATTCATGGCATTTAGAAGAGTTTCGTGTTTTCAACCGCGCTTATTAGACTGGCGTAAAGTCATTGGTCTGCCGGTTAGCGCGGTCGATGCTAAAAATAAACGCACACACACCAAAATATGGTCCCACACACCCCGTACGAACGCGAAAAAAATACACAGCAGCAGCAGCAAAAATACGCGGCCCCATCGTGCTTGCTTACAGCAGCAGTAGTTTGCGATCTGTAATTCCATGAAGACTCTCCTCCTCTTCTTGTGTTCGCACTACATAGACCCCGGGCTAAAGCTCGACAGACAACATTATTTCTGGACCCATTTCAGGTTTCTAGCACCTCACGGTTAATTTGAAACGTCAAACGAAGGAGTGTGGCAATCGGTTCCACCGAATTTTCTCTTCGACAACCTGGTCACTTTACTTTTTTTTTTTGTATATCTCCCATACAGGAAACCAAGCGACCGGCGCATGGATTAAGACGAAGGACTGCACAATAGCCTGTTCGACGCGAGTTGGAAAGGACGGTACTCAACCAGACACTTTGCACGCCATGCACATGCACGTGTTGTTCGTTGCGTTGGGGGTGAACGGGTTCGAGGGCGTCATGGAGGTGTTGGGGGCGGGGCGTCTTTCTGTCGGTCCGTTACCGTTGATACCTCTGTGCAGCGTGGCAAGACAACGGTGCGTTGTGTTACTCCTTGATTTTATGTTCTGCTCTTCGGGGTCAGATGGCCTCTACTTCGTTTTTGTCCTCCTTTCGTACATCCTAGGTAGGAGGGGGTTGGAGTGGGAGGATGACCTCACGGCCTTGAAAGTATCACTCCCGAGGAGCCGGCTTCTTGTGCTTGAAAATACCCGTAACATTTTTTGTATTGTCACACCCCAACACAGACGGTGTCGCTCTGTCTTCATGGCATGTTTTATTTTTGTTGGATGGGGGTGGGTACGTTGCATTCATTTGGCACACTCGGAAAAGCGACTCGTTTTTTTCGGTCGCTTCTCGAGGGGTCCCGGCGCAGCAACAATTGTTTCTGATCGCCAAAAATTAATGAAACACGTATTTGAACAAGAATCTGTTGTTTTTCATTTATTCATTAGTCCGCGGATGGATGCAGTCGAAATAGAGGGTGGTTCAGTCCTTCAGGCGTGTACGCTTGATACCCAGGGTGCCTCCTCTAAACAGTTGGGGAGATGGTGGGCAGGGACAAACAGCTTGAGTACTTGGTGCATGATTTCCACGCGACGAAACTAGGACCGTCGGGCTCACACCCAGCCTGATTGAGAGGCTGTAGACAGCTGTCACCAAACTCGCATGAAAATCCAAAGTGCTGAAACGAACCACATACCCGCCGACAAGTAGCCGAGGCTAAGTGAGGTAGGGTGCTCTTTTCCACGGCAAGGTGCCGAAAAAATGCATACGTTTCTGAAAATCGCCAGAACACGTGCCCTAGTCCTACGTCGCAAAACCCAGAATCGTGTTTATCTCAGACTCGGACCTCCACTTCCCTCCGTAAGAACCTTGGCGCACGTCCAGCAGTCCCTCCATACAAAACGACCCGCTCCGAGGATCGTCCTCACACCCGAAAAAGGCGAGTTGGAGCCTACGAGAAACCCTTGACCGCCTCGCTTGCCTGTTTGCGATGGAGACGAAGACAAGGACGGAGTAGGGACGTGCATTTAGGGTCGGTCACAACTAACTATGTACAACTACATGTACGCGCAAGGACTGGCATGAAGAAGACTATCATGACCAAAATTTCCAGCGGTGTTCATCAGTAGCAATCCACCGCGGAGCGTCTTGCGTCTTGCTAGTATTTCACAATGTCATGGAGCAGAGCGGACCCTTTTTTTATTCCTCCTGGGATCATGGAACTGAACGGTGCATTTGCACGAGGAGTTAGATTTTCAAGTTTCGCGGGGTGGAGTGGCACGGTCGGTACGTCGTTCGGTATATTTTAACTGAGTGATTTCTTACACCAGAGGATGAACCGCGAGAACCCGGGGCCTTGGCGACGGTGCACCATCAGACGGTGTGAAAGTCATACAGAAACATGACGGAGTTTTTACCTGTGTTTCGTGAAACACTTTGTTGTAGTTCATACATCGAAAACATCGGATCTTGTGCACGGTGTGCGGGCCGTTTTTTTTTATATCGGTTCCGTTGGGGGCAAACGCTCATGGAACGAACCGTTTTTTTTACTATGTCACGGAGCAATTGTTATCATTTGGAAAGGTCACGGGGCGTCGTGATGGTAAACCCCCAACTCCATTAAAAAATCGCTCCGTGCACACCCATTCCTGCAAGTTTCATGCTAGTGAACACGAAAATCACAAGGCCACTGCAGGATCATCATCTCCCGCGCCGTAATTTCCACCACTGCTCGCGGCGTCCCTCCTTCCTCCCCTTCCTGTCGCGCCAAACGCAAGGTCTACCGGGCGTGAACAAGTGTTCTGTCGGTCCACCTACACTCCTCCTCCGGCTGCTCCTTCTCTCGTGCTAGACAGGTCACTGCGGTGTCCATTGAGATCCATCCGCCACCAGTTGACCTCCGCTCTGGCAAGGGTACGCCCAGATATATCCCATGGAACTCGAAACGTAACGCTAAGCCTACCGCCGCCTTGCCTCCAGGGGGGAATTGGGGCTGCTGCCCAAGGACTCTTATCTTCAAGTGGCGCGTTTGGCACTTCGTGCCGCCGCGCAGGTGGGGCGTTTCATGGATGTTCTAACCCAGCTCCAGCACAAGCGCGACGCAAGTCATTTTGAGCCAACAACCCCCGGTAAACTGCTTGTCGTGGGCACCTGCAAGAAGAGCAATTAAGTACATAACAGGAAAATATTGAGGAATACGAGGACGACCATAGTTCTGCTGCATGCTCATGAAAATAACAGTCCGCGCGAAGGGCGTGTGTACGCGCACACACCGGGTTTTTTCAAGATATTCAATAATATTTTTCGTTATTGCGTGGAATAATAACATAGTTGGTTGTTCTCCGACGCCGTGGAGCAGCGATCTACCGCATTAGGCACGAACTACACCCGACCCGCAACGGCCGTTCCTGTATGTACCTATTGTACACCGGATGCGCCACTAAAGGCTGATTTTTCCCTATTAATAAGGGTTCTACAGCAGTCGTACGGAAAACGCCGTAACTCGATCATTTCTTGGGGTTAGGTGTCGCATTCTGTATCACGTGAAAACTATTTGTCTGGGCCATCGTTTGAGCCGTCTCGCACTCGGATTTGAAAATTTGGTGGTTACAAAAACGCCCATATAGGTACACTTACCGCGGACTGCTGTGCATGATTTTTTATACCACACATAACTTTTGCATTGTCTAGTCGTTCGGCTCGAAACTCGGTGATTGTGCAGAGAGCAGCAAGTAGGACCATACATATGCAACAGACATTCTGGTCCTCTACTTGATCTATCGATGCCTGGGTGTGTGCTTCTGACCCGTACGGGGCCGTTTTGCGGTGTCACGGGGCCCCCTCTTCACCGTCGCAGCACGCATAGCTGGCTACATGTATCAGAATCTGACGCAACCAGACGACTCTCAAGCACATGGGCTGCTCATACATATAGAATGCGACATCTAACCCCTCTGTAACCTAAGTTACGACGAGAGCGCCGTCCTATGCTGCTGCCCTGGTCGCCCAAAAGTTCATGCAGCTATTGAAAATCTTGCGACCAGCACCGATTTCCTAGCGTTTGGTTGCAGCTGAGCTATCATAGTCAGCGACCAGCAGTATTGTGAGTGTGCCGAACGGAAGCTACCTTTTGTTTCATCCAGCGCCTTGTCGTCGTCCCGCAGTGCTCCCCCAAAGTAGCGGGCGCTGGTCTCTGATGGGGCTGTTTATTGAACCAAATGTTTCCAGGCTGTACATACCTTTTTTTTTGACACAACGAATCCATCTCTATCATACAGAAAAGAGTCAGAGACTGCTGTACAACTGCTGTACATTTTGCTATATATTTTGGTTTTTCCGAACCGGCACTTGGCGTTCTGCACCTCCTTAATCACAAAGAAAGCACGCAGGACGAGTGCGTGCGTTTGTGATGGACGGAGGATTTTGCTGCACGGATAGAACTAGCCTGGCTGTCCTACTGTTATCCTATAGACTACCACTGAACGGATAAAAAACCAAACGAGGCCTGAGAAGGCTGCTGCTGCTGTTGTACATAGCTTCTTTCGCCCAGCTGCTGTGTGTGGGAACAGCTTGTCTACTTTTTACTGCAACGCAACTGCTGCTGTAGCTGTCTGTGGCTGTGGTAGCGTTTTCTTGTGCTGCTGCTGCTGCTGCTGCGCTGTAAAGGGTAATCGATCTACTCAACAAAGGAACATGTGCGTACTTGCTGTGAAATCCATAGGGAAGCGAGATGGTTCGACATATGACGTGGTGTCTTGGGTACGTTGAACACATATGTTGCTGTGTTTCCTGACCACTGATTCGTCAAGCAGCACACAACGAGTAGTTCAACCAAGGGCTTCCACCGACCAGCAGGGGTTGAAGTGAAATTGAATGTGCCGGTCTACTCGCTGCTTCTAGCACCTACGTCAGCAGCCGAGCTCGCTGATTGGCCAGAGCCGCCAGCTAGGGGCAACAGCAACTGAGGTGTCAGAACAGCAGCCTTGACTTCGGAACGAGCGTTTCGGTGCCCTGACACACTGAAGATTCGTGCGGCTAGACGCGGCTTCCCCCCCCAGCGAGAAAGCAAAGAAAGCAAGCAGCACAGACGATGAGCCAAAAGCAACAGCCTCCCGCCGAGAGCGGCAGAACTCCATGTTCAAGGGTGAGGAGAGAGCGCATCAAAGCGAGCGGCGTCTTTTTGGTGGTGTGTAGTTTTTTTTTGGTGTGCTTCGACATCGATCGTCGGTCGCGAGTGTCACAACAGAGACAGGGGGAGGAAAGTGGGTTTCCGCGGGAAGGAAGAAGCGGGTGACCCGAGTCCGCCCGAGGCCTAGTTGGGAGTGCGCGCTTCGGGAGAGGGGAGCCTCGCGGGGAAAAGGGCTCGCGCGGTAGCGAAAAGAGTTGCGGGTGGTCCTTCCTCGATGTATCATCACCTCCAGGCGCAGCGCGCGAGAGAGTTCGGGGAGCGGTCGTGTGTTTACGTGGGCTGCGGTTCTTCTTTGACGTGTGCCAAGCATCTCGGGTTGACCCCTCACGCTGTATGGGTCGGTCAACCCGCCGCCCGCCTGGTTGTTGATCTCGTGTGTTTTTTTTGGTCTGCTCGATTTTTTCAACAACGTTTTTTCGTGAACGAGAGGGACCAGTTTTTTTGTTTGGCCACCTCGATCTCCTGTCCGAGCTGCTGTTGTACGTAGAGCCGCTGCAACAACGCACGTTTTCCTCTCGATGACGCCACGTCTCTTCCGGCCACGCCGGCCACAGCAGTCTGCCGGGAGGACGCGTTGTATCCCAATGCGACAGCAGTAGGTGCTCCCTGCTGACTACAGCTACAGGCACAAAACAATGTGTGTAGCTTTATTTGAACAATTCGTGCAGTTCTCGGCCCTCTCTCGCGTTGCTGTTTTTTCTCGTGCTTCGACTGATGTATATGCCCACCCGCCCGCCGATTTGCGGTGTGCCCAACGCACGTTTACGAACCCCCAATCGCTGCAGGAGCAACAGCAGCAGCAGATCGGAATACCGGCGGCGGGCTGTGGAACAAATACGGGTACCGTATTTTGTCAGTGTGGGTGTGGGGCACCAGCGGAGGCGGCTGCGGCGATTCATGCCGCAGCTGCCGGGCGGCGGCAGCAGCAGAGCCAGCAGCAGCAGAGCCAGCAGCAGCAGCAGCAGCAACAGCAGCAGCAGCAGCAACAGCAGCAGCAACAACAACCGGGAGCCCATCACGCTCAAGCTGCGCATTTTGCGGCGATGAACGGTGGTCAGCCTATGATGCACCCTGCGATGTACCAACGGCCAGCTCCGTATCCTGGTCAACAAGATATGGTGAGAACCCGACCCTGCCGTCCTGGTACCAGTAACATTCGACGATGTGAGCAGCAGCGCAGCAGATATACTGCTGTTGCAGATGCAAATACAGTTGGCGGCGTACAGATCCCGCGAATCGCTATGATGCATCCAGGGTTGCTACTATTTGTTGTGTTCCGGCGCTTGCGAGGCATGTGATGCGTGAAAACACCTCGAGGTGTGTGCTATTGTGGTGCTGTTGGACGTTCGCTCTTGGTGCACCGCCTTGGCGCGCAACACGTCGTTGTTGTACATCGTGTATGGTAATATCCATAGCCTCTACAATACCTTTTTTTCTTCGTCGGAGTCGATCGTGCTGAATTTTTTGTTGTTGTTGTTTCGATCCAAGACTTTCTTTTTTTGCACAGGTCTCACGTACATAGCATTGCGCCTCCCTATAAGCTAAAGTGTCATTCCACGTGCGGCACGACGGTGTGTACCTTCGGGTCCCGTTGTGGCCGAAACAACGCCTTCCTAGGTGCTGGTACCGCAAAGTACCGATACGCAAAATGCGGCAGCAGTCGCTCGCGAATGCCTGGTTGGTGCTGTGTGCTGGCAGTCCCGCTTGTTTGCTTCGCGCCTCGTGCCTCCCAAATGAGTTCCACGCAGGTGAGAAAACGAAACCTCCAAGCCTGTCTGACCACAAGAAACCGTACCCCCCGCCGGCCCCCGAACCGCTCCATCTTTACAGCACTTCCAGCCGCCGTTCGCAACAGCCTCGGCCATGTCCCAGTACGCGGCCTACGGCGGGGGGCTGCCGGCCGAACTCCACGTGGCGGCGGACCCGTACCGGAACGCCCACCACCACCACCTGCCGTACCGTGCCTCCGTGGAACTGCCGCGGGGGGGCTACCTGGTGCCGGCATCGCCGCACGGCGTGCCGGCGTCCGCCTACCTCGCCGCCCCGGGCCCCGGCGGCCTCAGCTACTACCGCCAGTTTCCCCCGGGCATGGTGCAGATGGCGGCCGGAGCGATCCCCGGCGACGGGGAGCCATCGGCCGGGGCCAAGCTGGCGGCGGCGATATCGTTCGGCGGGGCCGGCAGCGGCGGTGGGGCCGGCGGAACTCCGCCAGAGAAAGCCCCGCCACCATCCCCGTCGGGGGCGTCGTCCTCCGGCTACCCCACGGGCGGCGGCCTGACGGCGGCGGCGGCGGTTGGGGCGGCGGCGGGAGAAGGCGGCGGAAAGCAGCCGAAAGAATCCATACTGGAGTCGCTGCTGGCAGCGAGGTCGGAGAGGCTGTCGGCCGGGTCGATGGAGGCGGAGGAGTTATCTTCAGGAGAGGTCGCAGGTGCCAAGAGCAACGGCGGCGCGACGGCGGCGGCGGTGGCGGCGGCGGCGGTGGCGGCGGCGGCGGATCGAGAAAGTGGGTGCTCTCCTTCCTCCCCGCTGCCGCCGAACCTGCAGCAGGACACCGGCGCGCACGCCGCTGTGCCGGGCGGCGGCAAATCCGGCGCCGGTGAGGGCAGCGGCGTCGAAGCGGGCGACAAGTCTCTGGCGGAGGAGCAGCGGCAGGCCGC